CCCTATAGCGTACACCTCTCCAAAAAAAAAAAAAAAAAAAGAATTTTTATGTTCTCTGGTAACAGAAATACAAGTACTTTGTGTTCTTTTGTTTCAGATTTGGATTTACAGTGCGAGATAATCAGCTATATAGAAATGCCCCCTTATGACAAAGAAATATCTTCTATACAGCATCAGAGCATATATAACAGAGAGCAGCTCAAGGAATGTAAGAAATGCCAGAAGAAATTTAGTAGTGGCTATCAGCCTAGTCTGCATCATAGGTGCCACAGTATCGAAAGAACCTATGCATGCAAAGAGTGTGGAAAGAACTTCCGCAGCGGCTACCAACTCACTCTGCATCAAAGATTTCACAGTGGGGAGAAGCCATATCAATGTGCAGAATGTGGGAGGAACTTTAAAAGTGGTTATCAACTCACCGTACATCAGAGATTTCATACTGGTGAGAAAACTTACGAATGTAAGGAATGTGGGAAGGCCTTTATTTATGCCTCACACATTGTTCAACATGAGAGAGTTCACACTGGCGGGAAGCCTTATGAATGTCAGCAGTGTGGGAAGACTTTTAGTCAAAGTGGACACCTTAGAATCCATCAGAGAATTCATACTGGTGAAAAACCCTATAAATGTAAGGACTGTGGGAAGACTTTTAGTAGACGCTCAAATCTTGTTGAACATGGGCAAATTCATACCAGTGAGAAACCACATGTATGTGAGAAATGTGGGAAGGCCTTTAGAAGAAGTCATCAACTTTCTGTACATCAGAGTGTTCATACTGGTAAAAAACCATACGAATGTCAAGAATGTGGGAAGGGCTATACCACTGCCTCTTACCTTATTCTACATCAGAGAATTCATCAGGGTGGGAAACCATATGCTTGTAAGGAATGTAAAAAAACCTTTACTTTGTACAGAAATCTCACTCGACATCAGAATATTCATACTGCTGAGAAACTGTTTGAATGTAAGCAGTGTGGGAAGGCCTACACCACGGCCTCAAAACTTTTTCAGCATCAAAAAACTCATACTGGTGAGAAACCCTATGAATGTAAGGAATGTGGAAAGGCCTTTAGTGTGTATGGATACCTTAATCAACATCAGAAAATTCATATTGGTCTGAAACGCTTTGAATGTAAGGAATGTAAAAAAACCTTTACTTTGTATAGAAATCTTACTCGACATCAGAGTATTCACACTGGTAAGAAAGTTTTTGAATGTGAAAAATGTGGGAAGGCCTATAGTACTGGCTCCAACCTTGTTCAACACCGGAAAACTCATACTGGTGAGAAACCCTATGAATGTAAGGAATGTGGAAAGACCTTTAGTTTACTTGGATATCTTAATCAACATCAGAAAATTCATACTGGTCTGAAACCCTATGAATGTAAAGTATGTAGAAAAACCTTTACTTTCTATAGAAATCTTACTCTACATCAGAGTATTCATACTGATGAGAAGCCTTTTGAATGTAAGGAATGTGGAAAGGCCTTTAGACGTAGTTCACATCTTACTGCACATCAGAGTATTCATGCTGATAAAAAACCCTATGAATGTAAAGAATGTGGAAAAGCCTTTAAAATGTATGGATACCTTACACAGCATCAGAAAATTCATACTGGTGACAAACCGTATGAATGTAACGAATGTGGGAAGTCCTTTAGTCGTGCTTCAAACCTTGTTCAACATGAGAGAATTCATACTGGTGAGAAGCCCTATGTGTGTGAGCAGTGTGGGAGGACCTTCAGGTATGGTTCAGCCCTTAAGGCACATCAGGGATTTCATATGGCTCTGAAAGTCTAAGACTATGAAGGACATGGAAATGTCTTTAGGCATGGACCAAACTTTTCAATTTTCAAACAGACAATTCACATTAAAGAGAAATGACTAAATATGAGTCATAGGTTTGCCTTTAGTAAGTGAAAGAATTCATAATGTAATTCGTAAGGCAATTATGACCTCACCACATTAGAAAACATTCTATGTCAGGCTTATTTTAATGGAATATCTGAATATTCTGTGGCAAATTAAGAAAAAAAAAATGAGAATCCCAATTTCTTCATGCCTACGACATCATGGCATAGAATTTTTTTAAACTAAATTTATTAATTAAATGAATGGCAAGGCCAGCAGGTTGGTATGGTGGTTAAGGCATTGGACTCTCACCTGGCTGACCATGGTTCAAGTTCCAAACCTGGTAGCTTGAAAATCACACTGGGTGTGTGTACATGTGTGCCCAGAATCCCAAGAGGAGAATGGAGGAGAAAGGACTGAAGCACGGCCATTCCCCCTCTCTCTATCCAAAGGATGGATAAAAGCTTTTCATACTTGATATCAAGGACTGTGTTACCGATTACCCCAAACACTTTTTTAAGGATTTATTTAATTTAAATTTTATTTATTGTTATTATTATTATTTTAATTTGCTCAGAGAGAGAGAGAGGGTAAGTTAGAAAGCAAGCCACTAGGTCTGGGACTTGAACTGCAGTCCAAACACCCCAAATCTTAATGTCTTATCACAACAGCAAACATCTCTCGCAGGTTCTATGGATCATAAATTCAGGAGCAGCTAATCTAAGTGCTTCTAAACTGAACTTTTCATCAGATCAGTCACCAAAGACTTGCCTGGTGGCTCACTCACACTGGTTGCTGGCTTAAGGTATGAGAGTACCTAAGAAAGGCCGCCACATTCACAGTGGGCTTGATTTAAATGAGAAAATCCTGGCCTGAGAGTTCATACTGGGGTTCTAAAACATAGTATGCATGTGGTAGAAATGTGAACAATTTGTCTTCAGAGTGCCAGTGGTGGTGGTTTTTTTTTTTTTTTGAGAGGTTTTTCGCTATAGGGCATGTGCGCTCGCCAGACAGAGACAGAGAGACAGAAAGCGAGAAATCACCCCCCAGGGGGGATGGCCATGCCACAATCCCTTCTCCTCCATTCTCCTCTTGGGATCCTGGGCACGCACGCACACGCGCCCGGCGTGAGTTTTAAGCCACCGGGTCCGGGACACGAACTGCGGTTGACTACGTGGGAGTTCAGCGACATAGTCATTACGCTAACTGCTGGTCCTGTGGTGTTTTTAAAATATGCTCACAAATTCTCTGAAACTCTACCCTTGCAAACTAAAGCCTAATTCCCCTCCCTTTGACTGTTGGCTTAACCTCACTGCTAATAAATAGAATATTCAGGATAGCTTTCTTATGGTGCTCACATTCTCTCTCAGATCATCTCTTCTCTACCTTGGGCTACTGTAGAAGCTGCTGACAGCCTCTATTATATATTTCACTGAATGGTGATTCTCTTCACATGTCTGTCATATCTTTCTGAAGTCTTAACAGAGACTTCTAAAAATTTTACTATAGGGTGCATGTACTCTCAGGAGAGAAGAAATGTGAGAAATCACCTCCCCGGGTGATGGCTATGCCCCAATCCCTTCTCCATTCTCCTCTTGGGACTTTGAGCACACATGCACACTCACCCATCCTGATTTTGAAGCCACCAGGATCCAGGGCTGGAACTGCATAGTCAGCCATGGGGATCTAACCACCTCCATCACCACACCATTTGCTAGGCCAACAAAAGACTTTAGTCACACTTTTATCTGTTCTATGAAGAACAGATCACCTGTTGTGGGGAGCGTGATTGAGTCTCCATTTGCTCCTCTCTGAAATAATCATCATGTTAATGTTGAGACGGTGGATCCCATGGGCTGCTGCCAACCAGTTTTCTGAATCTGGTGAAGTGTCAGTTCTTATGAAACCCAGCCTCACCAACAAGGCATCACTGACTCAATTATCAGCCAGGCATTATCTGTAATATCTGCACATGGTAATGCATTTTTTAAAGAATTATTTATTTTAAATCTACTTATTATTATTTAAATTTTCTATAGGAATTGGGACCAGCAGGTGGTGTAGTGGTTACATCACTGGACTCCCATATGGCCAACCACAGTCTGAGTCCCAAAACTGGAGTCTTGAAACTCACACCGGGTGCCTGTGCTTGTGTGCCCAAAATCCTGAGAGGAGAATGGAGAAGGGATTATGGTGTGACCATCCCTTGTGGGGCGTGGTGTTTCACTTTTTGTCTCTCTCTCTCTGGTGAGCACACATGCCCTATAGCAAAAATCTGTCTCTCTGAAAAAATTCTTTTTTTGCCTATAAGGCACATGTGCTCACCAGAGAGAAAGAGAAAGTGAGAAAGCAAGCTGCCAGGTCCAGGACTCGAACCGCGGTCAGCGGTGTGGAAGTCCAGTGCCTTATCTACCATGTCACCTGCTGACTCCATGTAATGTATTTTAATAGTCTTTCTATGATGTCTCCCTTCATCTTCCTATTCTTTCAGTGATCAGTCTTACATCCTGGCCAGAAGGCTTTCACTCCCTGCCCTGACTCTCCTCTTCCCTTTATAGTTAGTTACCCCCAAATCCTTTGTGCATCTGATCCTGTCATTTGCTTTTCAAAAGAGCAAAATGAACTCATACCCTCAGTTTACCTTTAGGCTGTATTTTGCTAATAACAGTCTTCTGGATTTATCTTTGTCCAGAGGCCATTCCCAAAATGCAGCATTATTTTTGCCTTGGAGAGGCTCGGAATTTCCAGATCCAAGTCCGGTTCTTGTCTGTAAGTTTTTTTTTTTTTTTTTTTTTTTTTTGAGAGGTTTTTCACTATAGGGCGCATGTGCTCACCAGACAGACAGAGAGAGACATAGAGACAGAAAGTGAGAAATCACTCCCCGGGGGGGTGTGGGGGGGTGGTTACGCAGCAATCCCTTCTCCATTCTCCTCTCTCCTCCATTCTCCTCTCGGGATCTTGGGCACGCACGCACACGCGCCCGGCGTGAGTTTTAAGCCACCTGGTCCGGGACGGGAACCACGGTCGACTAGGTGGGAGTCCAGCGACATAGCCATTACACTAACTGCTGGTTCCCTGTTTAACAGTTCTTTAGCTTGTCTTCTTGAACTTTAAGTGGCAAGAAGCTAGATGGCAACTTTAGTGTTCTGTCTGGAAATCTCCTTAGCTAAATCACCCAGTCCATTAAGTATTGATCTCTACTTTTCATATTGTCACATGCCACAATGTTTCTAAACTTTCTACTACTACAAAACAAAAATCCTCCTTTCCCCTAATCAGAAAGTAACAGTTTTAAGGTTTCTGTAAGCCTCACTAGCAACCTCTTCAAAAACTTCCAGGTTTCTGCTTACAGTTTCTTTAGGGTCCCTCCAGTTTCCACCCACTTTGGCTTCAAGGCCCCTTTGACATTTTTAGCTTTTTGTTTCAATAGCATCCCTCATTTGGGTACCAAAATCTGTATTCCAAAGTACCCAAAAAGTTAGTGCCTTAAAATGCCAATAACTGTGCATTTTTCTCACATATCTGTGAATCAGGAATTTGCAGCTAGGCCAGAAGATCTAGCTCTAGGTGTTTAAAGAGGTTGCATTTATCTTAAGACTTCTTGACTGGAGCTGGAGAACCTACTGGAGATGGCTTAGTTATGTGGCTGGTCATTTTATAGAGGTTGTTTCCTCTCCAGTGGAGTCACTCCATATACTGCTTGAGTGTACTTGTGCTATGACAGTATCCTTTAGTCTTTTGTAATGTAATCCTTTGCATAATCTCACTTTGGAAGTCACTTCTGCCACATTCTGTTCGTTAGCAGTGAATCAACAAGTCTAGCCTGGATTCAATGGGAGAGGGTTTCTGCTTCATATTTGGGAAGAATGTCAAATATTTGCAGACAAGATCATTTGACAAGCATTTTCTATTTTTAAGAGAGATTTTGCAATAGGGTGCGTGCACTCTCTGGAAAGACAGAGACAGACGGAGGAGAGGCAAAAAGTGAGAAATCACCCCCCATGGGGATGGCCACACTGCAGTCCCTTGTCCTCCATTCTCCTTTCGGGATCTTGGGCACGCACTCATGCGTGCCTAGCGTGAGTTTAAGCCATCGGGCCTGGGACGCGAACCACGGTCAACTACATGGGAGTCCAGCGACACAGCCATGACGCCAGCTGCTGGTCCCATGCACAGACATACTTTAAAATTACCACACCTTCTGACACCATTAAATCATTGTTAAACCCTCAAAAGGGACTGGAGGATAGCACCGTGGTGAAGTGCAACATTCTGCGAGGCTGGCCCACATGGGAGGTTCTGGGTGTACACCTAGAGATCTCTCCCTGGGTACACATGGTGTATGATCTGGTGCTGCCTGAGGCTTGGGTTGAACCAAGGCATCGAGACCCTGTTGCGGGTACTGTCTATCTTTCTCACTTATGGAATAAATAACTTTAAAAGTATTAATACTAATAAATGAACTTATTACCACAAATGGCAGTATTGCGTTCACCCACTGTATATGCCTTACCTGTCATTACTGCCATTCTAACACCTTATTCTTTGTATGTCATTGGCCAAGATATTTATCATATACAGACATCATTGGTAAAATGCTAACGAAGACCCTACATGATAGTGATATGAGGGGGATTAATTAAAGTAGTCCATGTAATAGCCTTAAAAGATTGTCTAGCATATAATATAGCCTCGTACTCAATAAATATGAGCAATTGTTATTTGCTTCACGGATAATTTTTTTTCTTTATTCATGATAGAGTAAATGAATGTGCGTGAGAAAGAGGAAGAGAGAGTGAGCAAGGAGCAATCTCCTCGGGGTCTGGTCACACCATTATCCCCTTCTTCCAGTCCTTAGCTGACTG